AGGAACTGGCCGGGGAACTCGATTTACATACCTCGACGGGCCTGGATCGCGTCGGATCAAGTTAGCAGGGGGCGACGAGTGAACTTAATTAAGCGCGTGCGCGAATCGTGACGGTTCGCGGCCGTACACGTGCCCCGTGCCCTGGTACACTTCGTTAAATTTTATTCGCCGTAATTGTGACTGCGTCGTCGCCGCGGTCGGCCCAACGGTGTTCCCGACACCGAAAACGGGCTACCACGGGGCTTCGCCCGTCTCCTCTCTTTAATTACATCCTCCACCTCCTCGTCGAGGCTTAAGACCGAACCTGTTAGGTGTACCGGAAGCGCATTTTCGAACCGCGAAAGGGTTAAAGAGACACCCACTCGTCGACGGATCTTTTAGCGTCACCCCTCGTTAGCGGAACGTTAATGAGAAAAATCTTGCCGCTGCGTTCGAGCGAGACGTGACTCGCGCCTCGGACCGTCGCGCGCCGTTTTAGGACCCGACGATGATTCGTACGCGAGAAAGACGGTCGCGAATAAAAACGGTTTTTTATCGCCAACGAGATAGAATTGCCCGATAGGAAATCGTGTCACCGTACGCGCCGCTGCTGCTGCTGCTGTTGCTGGCTCGGTTCTTTTCGGTGGCCATCGAATCGATCGATCGTATCGCGACCGATCTGTTCCAGTTATCCTTCCGCTTTCCGTTCCCATCATTTTCATAAAGCTCCGCTTAGATTAAACGAATCGACCGATTCAGTAAAATTCACGTGCAAACGAGCATTCTTTGATCGTTCCATAACTGTTCACTATCTCAAAGAGTATTAAGCGCCGAGTCTGATCAGATACGTTTCATAGATAACACAGATATATTATACTTGTATTCAATCGAACCGATGGAAGTTCAATAGTTTCTTTGACCTATTAATAACTTATTACTAATAGCCCGAGTTACTAATTGCCCGAGAGCACTGACAGCAGGGCTCGCAATAACTCCGTGGTGATTCGTCGGTCCGCGAAATTCTTTCGACAAATTACGATCCACGCGTGAACGAGGGGATGCAGTTTTACCAGCCGGGACCAACAGTTTTCCTAACGATTTCGCATTCCATTACACCCGTTTAAATTCGTCACTTTAACTCGCGTTAACGTCGTTTCGCGTGTGACAACGGTGGCCCGCGATATTTCGTTTAAACCCCCGCGAATTGGACATTACTACCGCGCGAACGCGTCCCCAAAACGTTCACGGCACGCACACGGCCGGGCCACCGGCGATTGCAACGCGAATATTTAATGCAACCGTCAATTATTCGAATTCGGTTGGTAAATTGGCACCATATCGATTACGCGTGCAGCTACGCAAAAGGGTGCATCGGAGCCCGGCGTACGCGTTCACTAATTACGCGTGTTTCCAGGACAATGGCCGAGGTCGAAATGAAAAATAACCTTTAAGCAAGGAGAAACGGTCGCAGAAACAGCGGCTGGACAATTTTTCCGTTTTCCACTGCCGCCGTTGCTTCGACGCGGTGAAAACGGTTTATTGGAGAACGACGCGTTCGAGTAGAAAGGAAGCTGAATTACGGAACGGTGATAAAAAAGTAACGCCAGCCCTCGCCGTTCTGGCTAAGTAATCGAGGATATAAAATATGCAACTCCCTATCCCTGGCTGAAATGCATCTTCCTTTTTACTCTCTCTCTCTCTCTACCCCTCTCCCCTCCCCCGCGTTGCCTGGCCGCGTAATTAACGGGTCGAACGGTAATCTACGGCGACAGGGAACTAATGGCAACCGTGAACGAAAGGAAATCGCGCGAATCGAAGTCGCGTTTCGGATCAACGAACACGTCCCTCCGTCGCTTCTCGGAAGTGCAACCCGTTTTATTAAATGAGTGTTCAACACACGATGGTGATTATCATACGCGACAGTGCGTTTGTTACGTTGCACGACCGCCTGTACGCGATGCATAACGATTTGTTTCGTTCACCGATCTTGGCTCCGCAAAGAACTTCTGAGTTGCTGTAAAGGCGAGAAAGGAAATCTGGAAGGAACGGACTCGCTCCGAGTCACTGCGGACATTTCTCGCTTCCGGTTCGAGGAGGTCCAAGTACAGGTTGAAAAGCGCTGAAATCGCACTTCCTCGAGTAGGTGCCTTTCTCGGAACAGCGAGCGAAACGACCGAGAGCTACGAAAGAGAAAGGGGGCAAAAACTCGAGCGTAAGGGAAGGAAAGGCAGCAGGGTGGAAGTTATTAGAGCTCACTACTCGGTGTGCGTGTAGCCAATAAGTGTTCGCGGTTGCGAGCCTGTGAAACGTTTGAGAGAGATCGGCCAGAAATAATTAGACTTCGCCTGCAAATTTTGTCCACGGTTTTTGCTTCCTCCGTTCGTTTCTAACCTGGAACGCGCTCGGAGCATTCGTGATAATAAATGCGGACAGTTCGAGGAAAACTCGTATAGCGGTCTGATCCAAGGAAACAACGTGGGAATTTTGTCTTGTACGAGGAAGTTGCTTTCCGGTCCCAGATCGGCGAAAGAAACGACGTTTTCCGAAGAATTGTCGGGCCAACAAGAGACGCGGAAGCCCGTAGACGGTCAATTACGATACTCTTGGGAAATAACGACCCGTCAATAAGCGCGCATCTCCATTTCCAATGGAAAATGAGACGACGACGACTCGGAGAAGACGATACTGCGAAGCATTTATCAAAAGGGAGTACTGGCTCGGTTTCTGTCCCATCGAGGGAAGGGAAACCGCGGGAGAGGACGTGATAGAGACGCGCGGGCGGGCAGCGAGTAGGAAAAATGATGAGCCAGAAATAATTAGCAGGGTTGCGGAGCAGTCCCGAACGAACGCAGATGTGCCAAGTCCGTATGAAAAATTAATGACATCCTGTTCTCGGCAATCTCCTTCTCTCCGCGCCCGCGCCTCCGTTCTAACCGTTCTTTTTTTTTTACTTTCCTGGGTGTCAAGTTTATTCCCTCATCGGTTCTCCCTTTTTTCGCTCGAGCCTAGTTTCTCCCTTTATTGCCGTCCCCCCCCCCCTTCCGACGATCTCGCGTGTCTCGACGAAATTTAGCCGCGCCACGATCCCCGATAGGCTCTATAATTATCCCGTTTTATCTTCATCAGGTGGGGTGGCTCTAGGGGAGCGAATTCGCGACCGAGCGGGCAATACGTACAACCGTCGACTCACCGACCGCTCGTTCCAAGCGCGTTTTCGATTTGCTTATCCACTCCGATACGCAACGTCGTCTTTCGATTTGTCATCTTTCCATCGAACGAACGACTCTCTACAACCGTCGTTCCTCTTTATAATTTGTCTTCGTTACGCGCGTCAATCACTTTTTCGTTTCCCGTCCCGTCCCGTTCCGTCCCGTCCTGTTCCATCCCGTCGCGTCGCGCCAAACTTCGACGATGTCGTTTTTCATATTTTTGTCGCACCACAAATATCGATCGACGAGTTACACACGCGACCCGTTTCGTAACGACGGAAGCTGAACCCCGTTGATCCGTTTAAAACAATCGCGCGTCGAATTATCGTTTTTTTTTTTTTTTTATCAGAAGTTCAAAGACCAAATTCCGGCCTGGCAGCTTTTCTTTCAGCCTTCGATTCGGCCAATGAACGAGCGCGAACTCGAGCACGAGCGATCACGTTTAACCAATAGGATTCGAAGAACCGCAAAATAAAAAATCATAGACGTTGCGATTAATATGGCTGCGTGCGGCCGCTACCACAAATGAACCGATAGAGAAATATTTGCAGTTAATATTGTCCCATTATAAAAGCGACGTAGTATCGCGTCGGTGGACAGGCGGGCCCGGTTATAACGCGGAACCACCACCCCGGGTATTGATAAACGAGAGGAACCGCGACGCGTCTGTTCGGCATAATACCGATAATTTATGAACGCGAGCAGCCGACCGAGTTTCTCTCCTGCTGTGTGTATATATCCTCCGCAATTAGCTCGTCGATTTTCTGTCTCAACACGGCGATGCGACGCGTTCTCCAAGTTCGCACCGCTCTCGAAAGCATGTTTTATTTATTTATGTTAATCCATTCTCCCCGGATAGTCTTACCTGCGGAGTTTACCGTTTGAAAATTTCATATTCGAATTCCCATTCTCGTACGTACAGTCGGCGAAATACCCTGATACCCTCGACCTCATCTGGAAGACGCCCGCTTCCGCTCTCCCTCCTTATTACCTTTAAATCTTAACGATCATCCCGGCCCCGATCGCAGTTTCGAGATGGATCTACTCGACGAGCGCTCAGGCGCTGGAGACTTCTCAACCCTTTAACGGCTGGTTAAAAATCATAATCGGGAGTGTAATTGGCCATCGATGAAAGTTCAGTGCGAACAGAATCGACGAACATCTCGCCGAGTGGAGGCAATTTACCGTTTAATTTTTCGCTTCGCGAAGGCTTTTACTGGAACGTCGTAAATTCAACCCGTTCTCTCTGTTCCTCTTTCTGTTTCGTATCTCTTGTCGCGATAACGTGGAAGAAACGGTGGAACGTAATTAGAAAGAGTGCTATTTTAAAAACCGCGGCGGTACCCCGAAACGAGAGTCAGCGTTTGCGTCACCGGTCCTTCTTGGGGTCCTCGGTATTTTTAGTCTCTCTTAGGGGTTGAAGATTATTCAGCCGGAAGGTATCGGTGACGAGAACGAAACGGCTATTCTTGAATTAAGCGAGCTGCATTCTCGAAAACGCAAAGCGGATGACTTGACGCTGAAAATATTTCCCTCAAAAAGATCTCTGGTTCACAATTAGAATATTGCCAAAAGACTACAATTCGTAAATACTTGCTTCTCATCCTTGCGGCAATAGAATTTGATCGACTAAAGCTCATTTCGATCTGCATAATTTCCGCGAGTGACGTTTACTGATTCGATCGAGCATATAAATATAACCAGGCCAATACCAGAAGTTTAGAAACATGTTCTTTTCTATCTACGGTCACTTGAGATTCTGACGGTACTTAAGCACGTTACCAAAGCGTTTATGATTGAAAATAAACTCACCTTCTTGTCCGAGAAGCACGGCGATCAAGAACAGCGTAAGATCCATCTCATCGGGTTCGTTTGTCCGGTTCCTGGTTGTCCTGCTCCCTGCTCGCTACGATCTAAACGCAAACGCACACACGTGTCACACAACACTGTCCGTGGAGAATCGCTGATCGCGCAATCGCCGGAAATTTCGATTCCCGTCTCGAAACTCGTTAAATACTTCGCGTCGACGATTTCGTCCGCCGGTTTCCGCGATTTTTGAGCAGCGCCGCGTCATCCGATTTCCCGTTCCGATAGCGTTTACCCCCAGACAGTTTGGCACCGAGACAGGGCCCGTCTAAGAGGGCGGGTAATTTTCTCACGGATCTCCGACGACGATCGCTACGTCGACGAAAAATAAGACTTGAAGATATCCCCGACCGAATTCACCGAACCCCACGTACTGACGTACAACACTTTTTTTTTTTGTATATGTACGCGATTCGTTTCGACCGAGTTTCGCGAACAAGGCGATTCAACGACGGAAGTTCGACTCGGTATCCCGTAGCCTGCGGTGCGAACGAGAGGGACAGAGAAAAGATCGGGTGGAGAAGCGCGAGAAGGAAAGGCGCGAACGGGGGAGCGAGAAAAAAGAAAGTACACCGGTGTAGTAACGGGGAGTACCGGCTTTTAAATGCAACTTGTTGCAATCTCGCCCAAAGCTCCGAGCCTCGCCGCCTTCTTTCGAGCTGGGAAATCGTGCACGTGTGTCCTGGCACGCGTGTTCTGTACACGTGAATCGATTAGAAATTCGGAATAACGAAACGAAGTAAGAACAGCGAGCGAAAAAGCAGCAACGGTTCTTGGTGCGGTGACCGAAGAACACGCGAATACGTACGAGTATAAATACCCTGGGATTTTTTTTTTTAATCGAGATCGTCACGAAACGCGAACGGAGAGAAAGAGAGAGGGCGAGGTAGAGACGATTCCCACAGAGGGTCAACGTACACTGATTGCTGGAATCTCGAGGTCAACTATGTAGACGAGCGGTGACCGAAATTATTAACCATAGGCCAGTCGGTGTTTACTCGACGATACCGCCCCGTCGACCGTACCCGCGACCGACCCTTTGTTTTTCTCCCGATGACACGTGCGCGGGCGATGTCCAGGTGGACACACACACGCACGCACGCACACGATTCAAAATTCTCTCTTCCTCTCCACTTTTCCATGTTCCCCCGCTTCCTCCCTCGAACCCCTTCGCCGTGTTTCCGACTGTATAACGCGAATGCGTATTGATTTGACCGAGACTATTCCCTTTCGGATCCATTCAAAGAAGGGGTGGAGCGGCAACGGGGGTCCGCTTGTTTATATGTTGATATAATTGCATCGACGCGGCCCGAATTCTTTTAATGGGAGAATCGATAATCGTGATCCCCGTCCGAATCAGAGTCTCTGTACGACGGAATTGATACAGAGCAAAAAGCTTTCACATTTCACGGTTTACAGAATCTAATAGCTGCGCCGTACAGTAACGCGATCGATCTACGATGCGACGCGTTTCGACACTGTATTATTAATTCGCATCGATCACTCGAAATTTCCTCTGTCGAACGACGGGATCGACGCACATCCCGTTGCAACTAGTATATCAATGTCCTTGCGTACGATTAACTTCCCAGTGATCCCTCGATCGCTCGAGATTCCCCCTTAATCGAATTTCAAACTTCTCACGGTGAAGCGGCCGGTAGAGAGAGGAGTTAGCAGCGATATTCGATCGGGATTAAGAGCGGCTTACCGCGGCGCCGCCGACACAGCGGCTGCTTCACGAAAGGCTACTTCCGATTCATCGGTCGCGCACGTTCCTCCGAGCCGGACGACGTCGAACAGGAGAAGCGGACGAAATTCCAAGCACTCGACTTAAAAACGAGACCGACGTATCGGGAATCTCAGTTGATTTCAAATAAAACCGCGAAATTCGAATGTTTGAGCCGTGAAATCTCTGACTTCTCGCTTGTACCGTTTCTAATGCGAGTCGACGCTCGCATCAGAGTTTCGCGGTGAGACACAGAGCGAAGGTCGAGGGTCTCGAAGAGGAAAGCTCGCGTCGCGGATGGCCGATGCCGACTACGAAAGCTCGACGTCGCGCCAGTTTAGGTCCGTGCGCCGGTAGGTCGTGTCTACCTGGGCGCGTGCGCGCTACGAACGGTGCAGGTGCGAAATACACGCGGCACTACCACCACCGCGATCGAAAAGCCGTGTGACACGGGATTGTAACGGCCCATGCTGCGTCGAGATCCGATCTTTGGCTTTCGACGCTGAATCCGAACCGGAACCGAACTTTACTCTCGTTCAACTCGAAATTGTCGAACAACGTAATTCATGTTCATGTACATACATTATGTAAAAATTTAAAATCAATTAAATTTATGTCTGTGCAGGCGGTCAATAATTCGAATGTAACAAGAACTTCTGTGTTGAAAGGACAATTCGTTTTGTTTTACAACAGTCTCTGCTCGATTGTCTGATTAATTAATCGCCATTGCTCCTCCTTCTCGAACAATGCTCCGAATCAATTACTTAAAGACTGCTGAAGTACTAACCGATTTTAGCAGCTCGTTTTATCGTTCGTCTATTCTTCGCTCGTTTTTTAATTGTACAATGTCCTGTTCACTAATTATTAATATCCGATCCCCATTGCGGGCCAGACTTCCCGCAACGGTAACGATCGATACGAAACAACAGTTAATGCCACTCTGATTGTTATTAGTATTCACGAGTCCAGGAACGTGTCCCATTTCCGAACACCGTGGCTCGTGCTCTTTCCGGCGGATTGAAAATAATTGAACAAGGACTTTCAATTTTTGTAAAGTCAGGGAAAAGGACACAAGTCCCGTTTGACGTCAAGGATTCGAGGCGATGAGTATTTGTCAAGGGTCGAGACGGGTCACGCATTTGAAAATATAAATCGATTAATCGTTCGGCAGTTCAAACATTGGTGGCAAACGAGGAGGCAGGGGGACCGATAGAACCGAAACAATTATTCTGGTGTTCCGGTATCTCTTGAAAGCCGATGTGCGCGAATGGATTCGAGGGGGCACTTTAAAGGCGATAATAAGCTCGGTCGTTTGTAAACGCGTGCCGCGGGGAAATCTTCGCAAATGGAAAAAAGAGGGGAAATTAACTTTCCACCCGTTCTCTTCCCCGGGCGATTCGTCGACGGGGCGAGAGGAGTCGTTTCTCTGGGAAACGGAGAAAGAAAAACGTGTTCTCTACTCTCTACCCACTGCGGGATCTCTCGCGGCCGTTATGCTTTTCCTACGAATGCTGCGCGCCGCGCCGGCATAAAAATTTCTCCCTAACGGGATAATCGTTTCTTTTTCCCTGCCGTCCTCTATATTCTAGGCCCTCCGCTCTCGCGTTCTCCTCCACTTCGCTCCGCTTTGTTCGGTAAACTGAAACTGACGCAACAGCCAATTTCGTTCGTTACGGTAACGATAACGATAATTGGTAACCGAGCAAGTAGTCGAGGGGAGCTCGCGCCGCGGATCAAAGCCACCGGTTGTTGTCTACAAAAGTTGCGGCATCTTCGCGACATCGTTTTTTCCGTCGTATTTTTGTTGACGAAAGTCTGAACGCGCGGATTGTCATTTGATATCGACACCCCAATTTAATATTTTGTATCTGGCAACTGGAGCTACAACTTTTCTCAAACATTTTTCGTTAACGTCAATAGTTAACGAGTATTTTACAAAAAATGAAAAAACAGTTTATTGTAAAATAATCGTTAACTATTGACGATAGAAAAAATGTTTCATACGAAACTCGTAGCTTTTGACGGTAGCAACAACTTCTGTTTGAAATATTTTTCGCTAGCAGCAAGAGGTAAACAAGTATTTGCTAAAAACGGAAATTTCGCGAAATATAAAGGGGTACTCGGGAATCTGGAAGGGAATAAAATCTCGGAAAAATGAAATCTTTTTTCTTAAAATTTCGAAAAATTCTTCCAATAAAAGTTGTAGGTAATGCTAGAAAAATGTCGTATACAATTTTCTTCTATCTCGAGCACTTCAGGGCTAATCGATTAATTATTTCGCTCACTGATTACTATAGGAGCCGACTGTTCTTTCTTATACTGCGCCGCAATATTTGATTTCTCTATTGATTCTATATCCGGAAGTTAATTCCGAGCCTTTATTCGTTGCAGCGATAAAATTTAGAAGAGTGAAACGGGTTGACAACAGGATCAGTGTACAAAAAGGATGGAGGTAAAGAACGGCTCGTTGTATCAGCGTGTAACGTGGACGTACAATTCCGTGTCAGTGGATCGCCTCCGTTCCGTGACGCTCGGTGATGCGTTTATCGTGGGACGGACGTGTCCCGATAAAATCGTTGCGAACGTCCACGGGAGAAGGCGGGCCAGGAATCGGAGAAACGAATGTTCCTGGCGGGGATGGAAATCCTCCCTTTGCGCTCGTTGCGGTACTCCTTTGAAAACAGTTGCGGTACAAATCCCCCGGTTCGTAGGTTATAGGACGATAAATTCCATTGTGGTCTGCATCGGATTGAGAAGACAGCGAAATTGTTTTCGCTGGAAAACCGCGCGCATATGGCCGATCCAACGATTTGCGGTTACGCCATCAAAGACGTTGTACTTTGGCCCCTCAGGCAGAACGGCTTCTACGAGATTGGCGTAAATCGATTATCCCGTTCATTAATCGACCGGGCGCGCGATAAACGATCGACGAGAGTTCGGCTGGACCTCAGGATTTCGTGGGACGGACGCTCGGAAATTACGTCCATCCAAATACCAGTTCCAGATAGAGGGACCAACAAAATTGTATACGATCACACTCACGTTCACGAGTCTCGAGACACTTCTATATCGTCTATCAAAACTTCGACAAACGTTACAAGTTAATGATTAACGATTGTCTCGATCGAAAAATAAATTACAACAAATAATTATTAAATTTTCGTGCAAAAGTTCCAATGGAAAATGAGTATTCATAAAATCTGACAGTTCTCATTTGTTCATTCGTATTCTTACGTACGATTGATCGTTATACGTTTTCTACGATGTGCCGAGACTCATGGATGACCGTGTACGTCTTTCTCACTGGCGGTCCCGCTCCGTATTCCACCGAAATGACGTCGCGTCGGAGAATCAGACGCGTTCTTCGTTAGAATCGCGCTTATCTCGAAGATGAATAATTCATCCCTCCATTTATCCTCGGCTGACTCCCGTTGGAAAACGGTCAACGGATAAAAATAATATTAACATAAAACGAGTGATTTAGCGACGCGTGAAAAAGTTCTTCGCGGCTTCATAAATCGTGCGGAAGGAACGTGAAACGAAGTTTCAAGCTCTGTCCCATGCGAGAATCCATACGCGGTGGTCCGCGTTAACCCTCGTAGACGAGGGGTGCGCGCGCTAAATGACGCGAAACGTTAATGCGACGCGCTGGCCGTGTAACGAGAACCGCACACCCTTTACAAGGCAATCGAACAACGGGAATTCCGGTCTAGCCCGGAAGTCTTCGGGCCGTGGATCAATTCCTCTAGCCTTCGGTTCATCGACAAACTTTCGCAAATGGAAACGGTCGTCCGTATGTAGAAGCTCGCGCTACTTAACCCGAATAAATAGGAATCTTCCGCGTCTGCTGAAAGATAGTATCGACCATCCTTTCCAGCTCGTCGCACCGGCAGCCCCCTGTGTCCCTCCGCTTCTCTCTTCTATCCCTTTTTGCACGCCACCCTCGACGGCACACCGCACCGTTCTCGCGTCCCCCGTCTCTCGAGCCCCTGTTGCACCACCTCGAGCAACCTGACCGTCTGAAACGTAACCTGTCGGAGAAGGGGCGAGCAGACGGTGGGCGAAGGGACGACCAGAGACCGAACTCGAGGGTGTAGCTTTCACGACCTTTCCGGGCCACGGAGTTAATATTTATCGAGGCTGCCTGTAATTTTCTTGGGAGCTCTGGGTGCGGACTCCTCCAGAGCCGAGCCGCGCTCGGATAGCGCCCGGGAAGGGAAAATAATTAAGGTTACCCAGACCAGTCTCGCTGGATTCGGCGATACCATATTTCTTTTTCCCGAGCTCTCCCTGAGATGTTTTTCATTCGACGAGCGATGGTAGCCATCCTCGAAACGTATCCGCGATCATTTTACTCGCCATGAAAAACGTTTTCACGTCGTGCCGAATTTAACGTTTGACACATTTCCATCGTATCGAACGTACCGTTCGTACTCGACGACCGGATTTCACGTTTGGCATAAAAACCATTAGGATTATTTCATTTATTACTGATCAAACGAATAATCGTGGACGGTATTTTAAGTAGATCGGTTCGAGGAGTTGGAACACTTTTGTCCCGTTCGACGACGAGTAATCGGGGGACTGAGTCGTTTGCGAATTTTACGACTCCTCGTGTATGTACGCTCGAGCTCAACTCCTCCGACGGAATCGATTCGTGTTTGCACAGGTATTCGAGGCTCTGTTTTTCTCGCTCCCCCACGTTCAACGGCGTACTACTCCCGACTGATCTACTCCCTGTTAGCTCGATGGCCCGAATCCATGCTGTTCCACGAAAGAGGAACGGCATCCGTCGTAGAACAATTTAAATCCATAAAAACGTATCAAATTCAGTCGAGAGACAGAAAGGTATTCATTGCCCTCGATCTCTTTAAACGCACGTATATGCTCGTTCGCGAATTTCCAAACGCACAACGAAATCTAATTAAAAGATCGTGGTACGAGTACAATTAGATTACATTAGTGACCGCGTAACGAGCCATGAAATAAAGACCCATAAAACTCTTTTCGAACGAAAGGCAGAAACGCATTGCCGTTCTCCAAACTTGACAATTTATTATATCGGATAGTCCTTTTGTCCTCAAGCGAAATTATATTGAATTTAAGCATGATGTAACTGTAGTTGTGATAAATAAACCGTAAAGAATAATTGGTTAGCAAAGATAAATATCGTAAAAATTTGTGCTGAATGCGTTCCAGAGAAATACGATGCACTGCAAGCCGGGGCGACCAGATGATAGAAGCATAATCAAGATGAGGCAGCACAAGCGAGTACTAAAATACCAATAAAGTCAAAGGATTC